CCCCTACACGCATTACGCGAGAAATCAAATAGGGTCTATATTTAGCCTTCTAGCCTTTGAGGTGGCGATTCGAGGCCGAGAAGCAGGGGAAAGGGTAGGAGACGGTGTGTGTGGGTGGAGTGGGTGGGGGAGGGGGACCGGCCGCCGTGAACCCGCATATTGCGCGCCAATACTCAACAACTCAACTCCCATAATTTTTTCCCGCGCGGACCGGCCGCGGCGACCGCCCGTAGCAAAAGCGCATTGCCAAAGTTTTAGCCGAATCGAATGGAACCACTCGAACCGTAGATCCTCTGGCCGCGTTGAAATATTCATTTCCCATGCCGCGGACCCCGACGGAGCGAGAGAGGAGTAGAGAGGAGAGGGGGGGGGGGATTCTGCACCGGTCGGCGACGGAAGAGCCCGGAGCCGGGTGCTGCGGCTGCGGTGCCAGCCGGGCGTCCCACCGCGGTCCCACCGCTCGGGGGCCCCGACCACATCACCCGCCATCCACTCATTCATCCGATTGGAACTCTTCATCTCTTTTGTGCAACCAGGGCAAAAAAAAAAATGAACGTCAGGGCTTCCTAGAATGTTTGTCGTCACGTTCACTTTTATTTTGAGGATGATTCGTCCTCGTGTCCAGCCCAGCGATATGCACTGTGTATCTTCCCCCTCCGCTTCTCCCTCCCCTCCTCCCCCTCCCCCCCAACATGGCGGCGGCGGACCTCGCGGAGTGCAATGCTCAAAGGAGAGTGATGGCTCTCGATGTGCGAGCCGGCGGCTCTATTTTTACAGCACATGCCGCTGGTGTGTGTGTGTGTGTGTGTGTGTGTGTGTGTGTGTGAACGCACTCATGTGTGTTGTAGCCCCAAGCTGAGCCCCACCGCCGCTCGCACGAGGCGACGTCTGCGAAGAGGCCCCCCTCGTCCTCCTCAGGGAGAACACTACGAGGAAAATGCCAAATAAAAAACAAAGGCATCGCCTAGCGCACTAAGGGAACGGTGACGGTGAGAGCGAGATTTGTTTGTGCAACACAGAACATAGTAAGGAAGAGAGGGTGACAGGGAGAGGGGGGGGGGGAGAGCGGAGCCAGAGTCGGTCCTGCATCACACATGCACTGGAATGGGCATAAACTCTCCGTCCAAACTCATCTCGAGCGTGTAGACACACGACTTACAAAGTACTGCTGCAAAAGCGCTGTCCTGCACACACACACACACACACACACACACACATGTCACGGCATAGCCATTGTCCCCGTGTCAACAAATTATAGTCCCTTCCATTCGCGGCAGGGGGGAGGGGGCGCGCGGGACGGGGCGGGGTGAAGCCATGTGCTTTCCACGGGCGGTTGTGTCGGCCCGCCGGGGGACGACAAGTAAAGTCCATGCGCCGGCTCGACCAGCCGGGCAGCGCCGATACCGACCGCGGTTCTGCTCGGCTCGGCTCGGCGCGCAACTGCAAAGGCGCGTGTCCGGCGTGAGCACAACGGAGTCGATCCGAGTTGAAAGCAGGGCAGGCAGAGCGGGGTCGGGGCGACACACGCACACGCATGCACACACACACACACACACACACACGCACACGCATGCACACACACACACACACAGGGGCGCGCGCGCGAGCGGACGGCCACATATCAGATTAGTCCGGTCGCGGCCAGACTCCGAGGAGAATTTGATTTCGGTCCGGCCATGGCATAATCGCGCTTCGAGTTGAGGACTGCGGGTCGGGGGTCCGGTGGCCCTGACGAGTCCTGCCAGCTGACTCCCTAAGACTTGGAATTAAAAAATAAAAAAGAAAGAAAGGAAAATACCTTTCTTTCTTTTTTCACGTCACTCGCACTTCGCACTGCTCAGGAAAGGCGCCGAGGATGGCGGTGGTCAGCCCCTGCGGCCGGTGCAGGGCAGGCCACCCGCCGCACACGCCTGCGCTGCAAGGAGCGGCCGCCGCCTAGTCAGCAGACGCTCCCGCACGCGCTCAAGAAAAAAGAAAACGACACTCAAAGAAAAGCGAACGTTGTGCGACAGTGCCTTAACGTCTTTCGCAAAGAGACTCATCATGCACGGCAGGATTGCCCCCCCCCCTCCCCCCAAGTCGCACAGAATAGTAATTCCGGTCGTAAAACAAAAATGTAAGATGTTAAGAGTGTGCCGTCTGTCCAGCCCGGCCGTCTGCTCTGGCCCCCTTCCGGGCCACAAAGCAAATTGGTACTGAGTCAACTCAAATGTCTGGAGGGCGCGGCTGCGCTGGCCGGCTATCGCCGGCTGAGAGGGGACGAGCGGAGGGAGGGCGAAGGGGAGAGGAGGCGGACGGAGGACTTGACTTCATTTAATTGGATAGACACATGAGCAATCGCAGTCGCCGGCCCCCGGCCGAGCTGGACTCATCCTCAGCAAGCACCCTGCGAACGGCCTCAGCCCAGCCCAGCCAGCCCGGCGAGCGAGAGGGGTCTTAATCTTGGCATTACGGTCACCGGATGCTCGCCAAACGACGGGACGGACAAGGACAGGGCAGAGCGGAGCGGCAGCGCAGAGCTGGAGCAGGGCGAGCAGGGCCCCGGGCTCCTACAGAGAGGCAGCCAGTAGCCAAACGGACGGCTAACTCGTGGCGGGGCGGGGCGGGGCGGGGCGGGGGAGGCACGCCCTGTGGCTATGTGGCCGCGCCGGCCGCGTATCGGCGTATGGCCCAGAAGAGAGCCCACGGCGGCCCCTCGCCTATACCACTGCGGGCCTTTGTCCTTTCCCTCGCCACCGCTGAAACAATCATTTTGAAAGCGGCGCGGCAAAATCCTACCGAGAGGGAGAAAGAGAATGGGGGGGGGGCAGCTAGCGAGACCATCGCAACACAAACCCTTTCATCCTTCTTTCCCTTCTCTCTCTCTCTCTGTCTCTCTCCTACATTCTTTCCCCCTACTTTGGCCAATGGGGTCAGGTTCATGGGCTGGACACGTCGTGCTACGCTAGTGCTACGCTAGAGCTACGCGGAGTGCTACGCAGCGCCACGCCGGGCGGGCCAGGCCGCGGGCCGCCGCGCTGCACGCACTCCTACGACGAGTAGAGAGTGGATACCGCTTGAGTCCTGTCGTCCCGTTTCAAGCAATTGTCTCCGAGCCGAGCGGCTGCGAGCGGGCGGCTCGCAGCAGCAGCTCCGTACTCGGCCGTCTAGCGCGGTTGGAGCTGGGGCCGGGCTGGCGACTGTGTGTGGACCGCGGAAAGAGGGAGGGGGGGGGGGGCAACGTTCTCACGGGGCATATGGACACCGAGCCGCGAACCCAGTCAGAACACGACATCGACGAGCGAGACCGCGGGCCGGGCAGGGCAGACAGGGGGACATGGTGGGGCGCAGAGGAGCGCGGGGCGGGGTGGGGCGGGGCGGGGTGCGGCTGCCTAGGCCAGGCCAGCGGCCAGCTCGGGCCCGGGACACCCTGCAGCGTGGTGTCCAGCCCGTGAGCACGATGCGACGAGGGTTGCCCTTATGTTCGGTCCCACGGCGGCGGCGTGGCGGCGTGAAGACCAAGAGAGCCTCGTTAAGGGAGTGCCTTCCCGCTCGACGCAAAGCGTGGACCGCGCGGACCGGCGACCGTACATAACCGTGTCAAAACACGCGTTCTGGAGATACTAGGTGGATGGTGTGCCCCGCCTACTCCAGTTAGTGACGCATGCGCGCGGACAGGCAAAGTTGCCTACACGTAGAGACGCCCAGAGCCAGAGACTATAGGCCAACCCGCCTGCACGCCTGCATGGTCAGTCTAACTTAAGCTTAAGAAATACGTCCTGCAGCAGCCTGCCCTGCAGCAGCCTCTGTCCTGCAGCCGCCTGCCCTGCAGCAGCCTCTGTCCTGCAGCCGCCTGCCCTGCAGCAGCCTCTGTCCTGCAGCCGCCTGCCCTGCAGCAGCCTCTGCCCTGCAGCCGCCTGCCCTGCAGCAGCCTCTGCCCTGCAGCCGCCTGCCCTGCAGCAGCATGCCCTGCAGCCGCATGCCCCGCGGGTACCCGCTAGCCCCGCGGACTCAGACTGCACGTACCCTTACACCGGTACTCTCACGTGCACGCCACGCCGTGCCGCCGGGGACACTCTCCGCCAAAACAAACGGACGGGCGCGAACATCGAGAGGGCCGTGCTACACAGTGTAAGGGCCGAGAGGCGGGCGGCCGCACAACGCGCATGCCGAGGCGCATGCCCTGCCCGGCCCTCCTGCCTGCCGCCAAGTGAAACACCGTGGGGCTGGGCCACGCCGGGGGGCGAGGCGCGGCGCCTGAAGCCTTACGCTCGCGGGCTACCGGCTCCTGTCTCTCCCCCTCTCTTACACACACACACATACACACACATACACGCGTTCATACACAACACAGACGTCGGCACGCTCTCTATCTCTAACGCACACTAGATCACCTGTCTAGCCGACGGGCCCGACCCGACAGGCCTCCGAAACAAGCCTCGCACAACACGAACCACCGCCTCGAAAACACACCAACTCTGACGTCAGTATACGACCGCGAAACTTTTTCTTCTCTTTGGTATTTAATACCGAATATACTGGTATTAGAAGCAGTATAGGGACCACAGGGGGAGCCATCCTATCTATCAAGATCCAGAGGAAAAATTACGCAAAAAAAAAACAACAGTATTTTTTTAATTTGCACAGCTTACCTTGTGAGTGTTCCCCGGGCAGTTCGTTGTAAGCGAAGCTCTGCAGGTCGTAATCCAATTGGCACAAATCGAAGAACAGGCTTGGCTGTTTTGCACTCACACAGACAGACGTCACAAAAAGAGTCACACTCTCTCCGAAAACGGAAAAATAGCGGTTTTAACACACAGCTTTGCACACACATACACACTCGCACACTCGGGCGCCAACCCCAGCGCTACAATTGAAGCCAAGCAAGTTAGCAAGCCAACCCCTTCACTGGGGTTGCGAGGGGCCGGAGGGTGGGGCGGGACAGGACGGCGAGGAGGGTCTTCCCCCTGGCGCGCCGCGCTGCAGGGCACCTTCCGTTCGGGTACCACAACGCACCAAAACGTCAGGAGAATGGCGCAAATCACACACACGGCCGCCAGCTCAGGTCACTCCGAGGGGTGCCATGGCGGCACGGCAGGGGTGGCATCACAAGATCACAGCGGAGCACCCTGCTCTCTCGCGCACCCGCACGCGGCGAGATGTCACCCGCGAGGCCCCGCGGCCCGTGACGGCGGCCTTGGCGTGTCGGGCTCGTTCGTAGGCCTTCCTTCGCTCGCTCGCGGGTGCCGGGCGCACGCGAAGAGCGCTGTCACGGCCAGGACTCCATGTCCAGGGCCTCCAGGGGGAAGGCACGCGTGCTCCTTGCGCCGGCCGGTGCCAGCGCCAGTCGGGTTGAGCGTTCGCGACCCGGAGCGGACTCGCCTGGCGGACACGACGGCGCGGTGGCGAGGCGGAGGCGGGACGGCGACTGCCGGCTGTGCCGCGGCTGTGCCGGGCCCACGGGCCGCGCCGCCGTAGCGCTGCTCCACGAGCTGCCCGGGGCCCCGCGCGGGCCCGCTGCCGCCAGCGCAGTTCGCGGCGGGCCCCGCCAGGCAGTCCGGGCCCCTGTGGGGCCCCCGGGGGCGCAACCTACCCGCGAATGGGTATACTACCCTCCTGCAGGGTTCCGGGTGGCTTTGCCTATCCGCACCCACTAACAATGACGCCTTAGCGATCGTCCAGAAACTACGTCCGTCATTGCCCCGTTTTTTCGCCGTTACAAACCTGCAAAGCTCTCATAGCGCCTGATAGGTAGGCAACGTCTCGCCTGCAGTGCATGCGCGCACTGCAGTGTGGCCTACCCTGAGCCTCGCAGGCGCTGAGCTCCCGTTACATGCAGTGTGCTGCAGGGGAGCGTGAGTCCCTCGCGACCCCCTGAATTCTGCCCAATTCAAACTAATTCAAACCAATTGAATTTAATTTAACATAATTCAGAAATAATTCCCATTCACTCAGAAAACAATTCCATCAATTCAATCCAAGCGAATCCAAGTAAATTCAAGTCAATCCACGCTAATTCAGTAGATAACGATTATTCAAATCAATTCAAAAACTATTTAATTCATGTATTTTATTTCAGTCCAATTCAAGTCAATTCAAATTCGACTCTCGACCAGGGCTTGGACGTCGGTTCGGACGTCCTGAGGTCAGTGGAGGGACGCTCAGCCTACGAGCTCTAAAACACGATTTGTGATCATTTTTGTGATTTGCCTACAAAGCAGTTATAGGGCTGAAACTTCTGTAAATTTAGTAATTAACTTCTATATGAGCTCCGGCGAACTCCGACAGATTTCAAGTGATCTCCAATGAACTTTGGCCAAAGTTCGATGAAGTTCGCGAACTACAGTGAGGTATTTCGGTAAACTCGATTAACTTCGACCGATGATCGCGAACTTCAATTAACTTTGTCAGAAAGTTCACGAACTCTGACTTCAGAGTATTGATCAGGTATTTTCCGACCTCGTTTCGCACTGGTCCAGTGAACAAAGCAGGCCTCTTTGAAACAGCGAACGTCTCGCTCGCAGCCATAAGAGGCGTCTTTCTTACCACCAGGCTGTAGGTTTGGTGTGGGACTTGTCCAGAGATCACACGAGGTTCGACTTCAACAACGACGGTTTATTCTTACTTCAACTGACAACGACACAACGACTACAGAGATTCCACGAAGACTGACATTCAGACTCAACTCCACTTGACAGGTAAACAATATCAAGAACAACAAGAATAACAATTTTAGCGGGGAATGCAAACAGAGCTACCAACATAGAAAGATAAATCTTACACAGATATCAACACAGGCCACCAGGCACGCGGCCAGGACGACAACGACGAGGAAGAGGGTGGCGAAGCGCATGTCGTTGGATTGCAAAGGGACATTGGCTAGTGCCTCTGGTCGGCCCCCGTTCCTGTATTTAGACCGACGGGCGGCGGCTCGTGCTCGTCGTGAGCATTCTTTAGTGATATATCCAGTCAAGAGTTTGTCGTCTCTACGCTCAGCGACCAGCGTAGCGAATGCTCACGCAGTTGGGCCAGGGGCAAGTAGTCTGCTACGCCAGCTGTACGCTGCGCTGAGCGTCGGAAACGGCACCAATTCTTATCTGGGTAAACCTCTTTAACTTGTTGTTCAATATTCAAAGAAAGGAGGCAAAATCGTGCCGTCCTCTATTTCATTTAAGTACTGTAATGTCCACGACTCATGAATAGAATTAGCCTTCGTGAACGTCTAATAGGAGAGACGGAATGCCTCGTCACCCGGTAAAATACGTCAACGTGGATTTCATGATCGTTAAGCACGGTGTCACATCGTGTGTCAACCTCCTGCCCAGCGTTTATGTCCCTACCAGGACTAGCGATCTACTTTCCCCTACCACTCTTGCTCTTCCTGACCCCCCCCCCCCGTTTTCCCCATAATTTCACCCAAAAGACAAAGGGAAAAAACTTTCAAAAAAAAATGTTACTTTAAAAGAAAATGGGTGAAAGAGAACGAGAGCGAGTTAATAACATTTTAAGATATATTTCTTCAAAAAAAAGATACAGCCTTTGTGAGAGCACATTTGAATATAATTTAAACTAAATGGGGTAGTAATAAAAAATTTACAAACAACAAATAAATCTATAAAACTTTGTAGGGGGATAATTTGCTAGAATAAATCCCATACCTTCTCACAAGCACAAGCAATATAGTATAAAAGTTACATCTTGAGCTTGATAAAATAGCATTATTATTTAACTACGTTTTCAAGGATATTACCGATAATTAAAAACATTGACATATTTATCACAAAAATATTGCCCTGAAGTATACAGAATAGATAGTAGTTGGCAAACAAGTCACACGTGTCATTGATAAGAGAACCATCCACATACAAGATTCAAAATTTTGAACAAAGCAAGGAAAGCAAGCTTTGAAAAATAGTAATCTGGCGACAGTGTTATAACATGGTTGTAACATGAATGCACCATGAAAGCTCCTCTCTCATGGTTGAAATGCATATCATTATGTTTTCAAAAATTCTTGAAAATTTGAGGCATGCCAAATGAAATTGTGTAAAACAATTATTTTTTCTTCTTTAACTCTTCAAACCGTTTTGTTAGGTCATCAAAGTCAATGTCATCAGCTCCAGATCGACCATCAACTTCATCAGGAGGAAAACTGCTGGAGGGGACTGAAGGAAGATCTGGCAAGTGGAAATTCATCCCGCTGCTGTGTGAAGCCTTAACATCATCACCAGGAGACAATTTGGATCTTGGCGCAGGTTTTGGATGGTCAGAGCTCTGTCAAGGAAATAGGATTTAACTAAATACACAAATTTAGGAATACAAAGTACCTAAGATAATCAAAGTATGTAAATCGGATTGAAAATTTGACAAAAAATAATATTAACTGGAAAAATTTTAATTTCTGAAACTAAAAAGCACAACTAAAATGCAATCTAAGCAAAGAGGAAAGCAGTAAAAGAGTATCACCGATGCACCACAATTAAAATAAAGAGGTTGAAAACATGGTTAGAAAAAGCTCAACCAATCAAAAGAAGACACATGCTGAATGTAAATTAAAAAGATAGATAGATAGAGATATTAAAACTAATATTGTAATGTGAACCTAAAAGTTATATGGTGGGTTAAGTCTTGTGAGGCAAGTATGTAGCCTCACGGTGAGACAACTCAAACGAGGCAGCTTGCTTCAGAGGTGTTATGCCTCACAAGACTAAATCCACCAATAAAGGATTAACCTAACAAGGAATACCTGTTTGTTTTTGTTGACATCTGGAGGAAACAGGCTATGGAAAGATGGAGGAGGAGAATCCTGAAAAACATGCATACTATCAAAATTCTCCAGCACTCCTCTTCCACTACACAAACAATGCTAAAATTTACCATTCAGGTGCAAATTAATTTTAAAAATACTTGATGTAAAGTGTGGTATTCATTCTGAGAAATATAAACTTCCAAATTTACTGTTTTTTTGTTTTTTTCCTTAAGTTGACTTTTAGGGGAGGGGTTGCACGGCTGCTAATTAATGAAACGTGAAATGTAAAGTGTAACATTAGAAGAGCAATTACCTTCACCAGAGTTCAACATCTATGTTTAAAAAGCCACTTTACTGACAGAAAACTTACTTACATAAATATGAACTACCACAAAGATTCTTTTAGCATGTGTGAGTTTTTAAAAAAATATCTAACTAAACTTGAATAGCTTCTCTTCAAACAAGCACTACGTCACACTCAAACTCAATATTTTCTTTTCAAATTAAAAATAAACACAAGCTTTTTCATGCAACATTCACAAATGTAATGTCAAGTCGTTCACACCTGCATATTGTTCACGTTGCTGCTAGTATCACCTCCGGGAGGTATATTGTATGACATTGATGCAGGATTCACATTAAATGGAGCAGCAGATGGATCAAAAGAGGAGCCTCCAATGGCTGCGTTGGCGTCAGAAGCTGGGGCCTGCTGAGGCAGTGGGGGAGGAACTACAAATCCCCCTGTTGTACCAGCTGATGGTTTTGGTGTCTGCAATTGGAAAAAGATTCTTACTTAAGTGATGGAAGCTATAATAAAAAGGTTATCTTGCAACAATGATTAGCTAATAACACACAGGGTAGTTAAAAGGCTGGAAATCAGATGGCAGCATTGGTGGTTGGGGGAAGCCAACAAATCCGGCAGGTTGAGGGACTCCACCACCCCCCAGATTATTTTTGTCTTGGTCTAGATCCAAAAGGAGCACATCTTCTCCAGCATGGGGCTCATCCTCTCTCATGACCTGACAATAAAAAAACAAGGGAGAAGAAAGCACAAAATTACTTTTGTGGTAAAATGGACACCCGTTTTTTACAATGTTCTTAAAATTATTGTATCTTCATCTCAGAATATAGAATAAAAACCGTCAAATTTTTTGTTGAGTTCTCAAGATAATACTATTAAACATGAAAAAATGTAATTGTTAAAAGTGACAGCAAGGTTCCTAATTCTGAATAGTATTACTTTTATGTTTGTAGCTGTTGTGTCTTCTGAGATTAAAATGTCGACTAATAAGCTGGGTTAGGGACTTAGCACTAAAATCGGTTTTTTGTTAAGTGTTCTTAAAAAAATACTATTAGACTCGGAAAATAGTTCATAGTTGGTAGAAACACCAACTTTTCCAGTTTCAAATTGTACAAGTGTTATGTTTGTAGGTATTCTGTGTTCTGAGATGAAAATGGAATCAGTTAAGGTGTGACACTGCACAGAGAACAATACTCGTTCTTTTTAAGACGATGGTGGGATGGTAAAGAACGAGTAAAAACAACAGTATTTTGATCACATTGTAAATGTTAAGGTTGCTTTAGATTAGATAACAAGACAATGTTATCAAATGTACTTGCCTGTGGATCAGGAGTGAACTCTATATTGTACATCTTAGCAATTTCAATGAGATATTTCTCAACAAGAAGCTTAGGTGGTGCCTGAACACTCATTTTGTGCTTCAACTTTTCAGATATTGACCCTACAGCATCTTCCCTGCAAGCCTGAATAAAAAACAAATTTTTTAATAAATTATAAAATGGGTGACAGTCGTAAAAACAAAAGGCAAACTATAGCGGCTTAAGGAACTTACATCAACATACTGCCGGCCATATTTTGCTGTAAGTTGATCAGTAATGACTGACATTTCTTGAATATCTGACTGGATTCGAGGTGCTACCCATAATATGCTTGATATAGCTTCGGCAATGCCTTCATCTAAGGTTCTGGGTTGGGCAAATAGAGAGAGAGGGAATTAGAAAACTTAAAACTCTGAAGGATTAACTGTTACAAAACAGAAGGTACTTAATCTTACTTCATTTGCTGTAAAAGTCCAAAACGAGCCAACAGAAGATCACAGTACATTTCAACCACTTCAAAAGCTTCCACAATGTAATCTTCTCGGATGATATGTTCAACTCTGATTCTAGCTCGCTCAATTTTACCTGCAGCCAGGTAATCTGCTATTTCTTTCCGCGCCTTCTGAGCCAGTTCAGTTTTCTTTTTTTCCAACAACTTCAGTCTGTTTATAGCTAACCTCAAATGAGTTTTCAGCTTTGTGTAATTTGGACCGCTTGAAAACATCTTTAACCGTACGAGTTACAAGCAAAATAAAGTAATTTCACTTAAATTTTCCTACAGAGGATTGGAAATGCCCTGTCAAACCAAAATAAAACTCAAACACACAGAAAATGACTACACAATGTCAAGATTGTGAAGTGAAGTGACTCATAAACATAACAAACAACCGTTGGTTGTTCTTTTGTTTTGGTTCTAAGCATCCATCCAGGTGGCCGTGTGTGGATTCACCCGCGCAGTTTGAAATGATTGAGATGGAGTTGAAAATGGTAGACTTCTCAAGAGCAGGTGAAACACGGACCGAGGCGGCCTGGGCGATGAGTCCCAGGCGCCACAAGCGTTTTTTAAAACATATTCTCCACCCTCCACTGCGCGAGTCATGCCTATGTACCGGGTAATTCAGAGATAAGGCGCAGGAGCGGGCGGGTTTGCCTACTAAGGGACCATGGTGTCTTACGGGCAGAGCGAGTAGCGCTAGTAGGCAAACCCGCCCGCACCTGCGTCTTCTCTAATCACCCGGTACATATTGCTGGGAAAAATTTTGTACTTGTGGGCAGGAGCTAAGAGACGACCAGCGCCCTCGTTGATATTTTGCTTAAATGATAAGAATGATAGATGATGGGAACACATAAAATATAAATTTGAAGGTGTAGGATTTTTTTTTATTAAACAACATTAGGTGATACATCACTATCATTATTATTGTTGTTTTGAGTATCCAAGACATAAAATTCAATTACCACATTGACTCTTACTTAGAATACTTGCATTACAATACATAGTACAAATACTGCATGTGTGCTACTGCATTGCACATCAAGAGATGCATGGACAAAGGGCATGGACATTTATGTAGCTTATCAGTGCAGTTACACCAAATTGCGCCACTACAATTACAGCCAGATAATTTTAGAGTTTTTTCCTTTTAAAAATAAACAAACAAACAAACAAACAAAAAAAAACAATTTTAAAAACTGATTACTTACTGAAGCTGGCAGGACCAAATTAACAGGTAATACAGTACAAGAAGGCCAATCACACATTACACCTACTATACCTAGTCAAAGCAATATTTAATTTTTTTTTCAGCAGTCCATTTGTTTCATAAGAAGACTTACAACTATATGGATGAAATAAGAATCAAATTTGCTGTCTTTCTTCGTGATCACATTACCTCTTACAGTTACCACAACAGTTACCATACGTATTGGACCATTTCATTACCAATTACAATAGTTACTGGTTACTGCACAAGGGTGACAATCTGTAGTTCATCTATTAACTGCATCTCTAGAAGCAAATATTTCTTTGTATTCATTCGCTCCACCTCAGTAAAGACAGGGGCCAGAAAAACTTAACAATACATTTAACATGATTTCAGACACTTGGCAGTAATGGTAGCGGCGCTGCTTACCTAACTGTCCTCTAGTGAATGTTCAATGTCTACAGGTGAAAGGATGGACGCAACATCATGACAAAGTGTCAATTAAAATGGTATCAAAGGTAGATTATTAACATGCTGTGAGGTGAGTGAGGCCCACAGTGTCAAGCCTGCATCAGCATGTTACCTAATTTGTAGGGAATCAATAAGCTTTGTACAGGGTTAAGTAAACAAAATCAATAAATTTCTGCAGTATATAAAGTTATAACATCACATCAACAATAATTACCCGACAAAGGGAACCAAACCTTAATTTAGTACTTTAGTACAGTTAATTAATACACACTACATGAAGTAGTGCAAGAAATCTTCGACAGAAAGCATTCATCCAGGAGTAAGTCAAAGTCAACAATATGTAAGTCGTCAGAAAGCAAAAGGTAATACCCATGGTTTGAGGTAAGGTTAACTGTCATGAGTTAGCCTTACTGAAAGAGTACCGTTAATATCCGATATTCAAAATTAAACCAAATCCTTTATCTTTAAATGAATTCATTCTGTACACCTCACATTCTCTGTGGCAAAACCCAGCCTCATATTTTTGGAGCACTGGTTAAATATTTCTTAAAAGCTGTGGTTCCAAAATCTCATAAATTTAAACACATGCATAAAGATTCAACAGAAGAGAGATTCAGTAAAAAGTATAAAAGTTAAGTACATTTCAAAAGGGCACAAAAGTGCTCTCCACTAAAAAAAGAGGTAAGTAAACAACAAACCAATAGGAAGACAACAAAACAAAGGACAGAGGAGCTAAATCACTACCAAAGTGCAGAGTCAGTGTGAAGAAGCACGTCTACACTACTCTACATCAAAACACCACCTTATAATAAATTGTTATAATACAAAAAGAAAAGCCCCAAAACAGATAAGGTTATTAAAAAAATATGCAATATTATGTCAATCAAGGGTAGAAGATGGAATGTTCAAAGTGAGGTCAGTGGGAAGCAGCTCAAAGTGGCCTTCATAGCACACCATGGTAACCAACATTTCCACCACCTATTTATTATCCTTTCTTTCCATTATTTCCATTTATTTGTAACTCCACTGACCAAGATAGAAAAGACGTTCAGAGGACATCTGTTTTTTGACAAAGCCATTCAGTCAATGGACAGCTGAGACAACGCTGCAAGAGGAGAGGAATGACATATACTCCTCATATTGCGCCTATAAGTGTACAAACACACTTTGTAATTCCTTTTTTAAAAAATAGAAACAAAATGAAGAAGCTCCCAAGAAACAATTAATCAACGGTCTTTATCACTTCTCCCCACCCACAAAACTTAGGGTAATTTCATTCAATCATACACATGCATTCATCTTTCTCACACTTAGCTAATTTCTTTCACTCACAAATTCTCACATTACAGCAATGGGAGTATGGTGACAGGTGCATTGGATCGGATAACTGAGTGTGGTACAACCACCTCATTTGTGAATATAGTTCAATATTGTCATAAAAAACTATTTTACATTCCGATTGAAAGAAAACAACAAATGAAAAGCTCTACAAGAGTGAGAGACATTAGACGAATGATATGCATACATCGAGAAAACACAAAAGAAGAGAGAGAAAATTGCCAGCTCATGATACAAAGAAGCTACCTATTCCCACCCACAAATACCAATACTGTTAGAGATGAAATGATAGATGGTAGACTATTGAGGCAAGAACGTGCCAGAGTTAGGAACAAATGTATCATGTACAAGTGAAAATAGGCATCTGGATAAAGCAAGTCAACATTTGTAATTTGCTCCTTGCCTAGGACTCTTCCTATGGGAAGGTAAGAAAATTTGCATGAAAGATAACTGCGAAATAGCCTAACACTTAACCGAGGAAATATGCACTCTGAGAAAATCACATCAAGAAATAAAATTATACACCCAATGCTATTACCATGTACAACCATACCACTGCTTAGCTAGTAGGTACTTGTGCAGACAGAAGCAAACCCAAATTTTTAGTTTAAAGACATTTTTAGTTCACTGACAGTTCGTGTGCACAATACAAATTATCATTAATTTTATTGTAAATGCAAAATATCAGTTGCCAAAGAAGAGTTGCTTACACTTACTTTGTACAACTTTCCTCACAAAAAGCTAACTTAATCCTAATGATGAACACTGGGAGATTGGTGAAAGAAAAATATCCTTCCTATGGCACTTAAAATATCTTTGTTCAACAAAAACCATTTAATACTTTCTAGGGCGGAATCAAGGACTCAACTGAACCCATCCATATGGGTCTCATCAGCATTACAAAATATATCTTGATTCGATTCATAAAAAAATAAAACATTATGCAGCTACCATGAATAAAGAATGCAAAATTTAGCACTAGGCAAAGCCAAAGATAAAGTAAATATTTGAAAGAAAAAGATGTAAGCATGAGTGGGTGAACGTAAATAAAAAGCTCTCTAGGTGCATGCATGATGACGATTGCATACACTATTCTTCAACACCAAGATGGAACAAAAACGAATAACAGATGATTCTCTTATCATATTATCAGCAGTAGAGAAGAAAATTAAAACTGAAATATGTGTTTTATGATTTAAAAACTATATGAAACAGTGACATAAATTAATTTCATCTGACAGCATATAGCAAAGACCAGTTCCATTTGGGAAGTTATCAAACACAATGCCCTTACGTTACTCACACACACAAATTCATTAAAAAATTGAAAAGAATTGGAAAAAAAAATATTTATATTAATACCTATAGACTGAAAGACAATGAGATTGTGATAGCTGTGTAAAATTAAAGGAGTGTTTTAATCATAAGTACGTTCTACTGCCTCAAATTATCTCTGAGTTATTTGTAGCAGCAGAGATACACAGCCTAAACACAGCTGTCACAATCTTCCTCAATACAGAAAATGATGTTTGACTCATCAAGAGTATCTTAAAGGAAGGAGAACAGATAGTGTAAACAAGTATCAGCTCTTGCAACCCAGTGTTTGAATTAACAGACATGGCATTTTGCCTTCTGATGCTTAATTCAAGTTCTAGCCCTCCTGGACAATTGCACTGAGCTTCTAAATGGTGAGAGTTGAGTTATCCCACTCCAAGTCCTTGTGCTTTCCTGACTCAACTTCTTCTTCTTCCTCATCTGTTGAGTCTAAGTCATCGTCTCGATAACTAGACCCGTCATCAGATGAGTCATCATCGTCACAATGTTCCCCTCGTACTCTTCCACCTGCAGAGGCTGGTCCTTGACCATTGGAGGGTGAGGAACCATTCATCTGCTAAATTTCAAAAATTTTTAAACATAGTTAAAAACATATTTTATGTAAAGGTTACGTAGGTATTTGAGAAATCTGTAGATACTACTTACTTCCATGGGGTTTACAGTAATGGTAAGGGCAGAGTCATCCCATGCCATTTCTGTGTCAGCAATCTCTTCCTGATTTGCACGATGATGCGCTGCACGAATGCGAATCACTCCCAGAATGATCATGAAGAGAAGAAATCCAACACACACGACAATGATAATGGTGACTGCGTGGCCTGGAAATGTCAGAGCGCCATAAGGTAAAGGTCAAGGATTTATGTAGCAAAGGAAAAAGTAGATTACTTCAAATATGCAATGCAGTACTTACTTGCACCAGTGACAGCTTGAACACCATCCATAAGGGAATGATCTTCAGAGAGCACCTGGGCAGGGTGCATCTCAACATGGTGTCGGTCAACGTGAGCATGGGCAGGCTGAGGTGCATGGTCATGGCTGGGTTTCTTCTCATGCACATCCAGGTGTTCATGGTTGTGTTTGTCAGCAAGATGAGGCTGCTCTGTGCTCTTGCTGCCAGTCATCCGTGGGTGAATTACTGTCAACTAGGAGAAATGAGGGTGTCAATTTCCTTTCACCTGATTACTTTTAACATGTTACATACAATAACTTAACAGAAAGAACTACTTTGATTGATTTAAAAACAAGTGTTTATGTTATACTTACTGTTTGTACATATTCATTACTTAAGAACCTGCCATTAAGTTCTGAGCATATAAGCTTAAATACACGATTCAAGTAGTAAGCAGGTTTACGATTAGTGTATTGGATCTGTCGAAGGATCTGAGAAACAAAATGAAAAAAATCAGGGTATTTGTCACATCAAGTTGAACAAAATCAGACATATAATAGATAAAGACCAACTAAACATACCTGTTCATAGTTGTAGATAAGATCTGCACCCGATACAACAACACCATCTTTGTTAACCTTTGCAACGACTCCGAACTGAGACAGCATATTTTCAGGTAGGGATAGTGTTTCATGATCAGGATTTAAAGATGGATAAACAGAAACAGAGCAGGAATCTAGCTTCTTCTCGACACTGCTAATATCTAAAAAAAAAGAAAG